TAGTTTCTCTAAGTAGCGCTGGGGTTGAGAAAAAGGAAATGGCTACTAAGATTAAATAAAATGAGAAGATCAATTGTCTGCCTGAATATTGACAGCTGGGGAACTAGTCATCTTTGACCTCTCACTGAAGGCCTCTATTCACTGAGGAGTAAGGGCGCTAGCTAATAATTTTTTTGCAATAATGATTGGCAGAGTGCAAAAAGAAAAAAATAACGTTAATTCTTTAAAAATACAGTTTAAGGAAATACAATGGAACAAAGGCAGTCTTTTCAACAAATGATGCTGGAAAAACAAGATATACGATTAAAAAATAACAATTCTAGACACAGACTTAATACCTCTCTCAAAAAGGGACTCAAAATGGATCACAGACCAAAATATAAAATGCAAAACTATAAACTTCTAGAGGATAATATAAGAGAAAATGTAAATGTCCTTGGGTTTAGCTATGCCTTTTTAAGAAAAAAAAATATACCAAAGACATAATCCATAAACAAACAATCCATAAACTGAATTTCATTAATATTAAAAATTCTGCACTGCAAGTGACCCTGTCAAGAAAATGAAAAGACAACCCACAGACTAGGAGGAAATATTTTCAAGAGTTACTTCTGATAAAAGTTGGTTAACCAAAATATACAAAAAACTCTTAAGAGTCAACAATAAGAAAATGAACAACCTGATTTAAAAAATGTATCAAAGCACTTAACACATACCTCATTGAAAACAATATACAGGTGCCAGATAAGCATATGAAAAGATTCTAAATATCCTGTGTCTGCAGGGAAATGCAAAGTAAAACAAAAATAAGTACCACTACACACCCATTAGAAAGGCCAAAAGGCAGAGTACTAACAGCATAGAATGCCTGCAACACTCAATGCGCAGAAGAGGAACTCTCATTCATTGTTAGTGAGAATATAAACTGCTGCAGTCACTATGGGAGACAGTTTGCAGTTTCTTACAAACTAAATACAAACTCAGTAGCTGAATAGTATTCCATGTGCATATGTACCACATCTTCTTTACCTAATCCTCTATTGAAGGACACTTTCTATGACTAGCTTGTTTCGCTTAGCATGATTTTTTGTAGGCCCATCCATGCTTTTTCTATATTATTATCTATCTCTATTTTATTTAAGAAGTTGTTGCTCAAAGGTTTATAATATGCATCTTTAATTTATCACAGTATATACTTTCCAGTAATATTATACTAATTCAGGTATTACATAAGAAGCTTACAACATTATAACATTATACTTCCCCTTTCCTTTTCTGCACTATGTAAAGTAATGCAATTAAGCATATGCCAATATACTGGGTGGGCCCAAAGTAGCTTTACAGTTGTAAACATGCAAAGCAAGATTTTTTTCTTGTATTATTAATTATTGTATTATTTTCCATTCAAATTGTATGGAAAATACAGTTTTGCCCTACCCTGTAAGTGAAGAACACTTTTGCTTGCAAAAACAGAATCTCTTTTTGAAATAGTCTGGGTCTCCATCAGTAAAAATAACCTTATCTCCAAAAGTAAGAAAAGGGAAAAAATATATTGAAAATGTGCATTATTTAAGACTATGTATGTTTTACAGTGAAAAATAATCTTTATATTTCTAAACAAAACTTATTTTTTCATTTATTTACACATGTGTATTAAATGTGACCAAGAGATTGTAGAAGATGTGAAGATGAGTCAAATATAAACCCTGCCTTCAAATAAATTATATAATATTACAAGTGAGAAAAGACAAAAGACATGACATGATTATAGCTATGCTATAAGTCAGCATTTAAATGTTCTCAAAAAGAGGTACAAAATGCTATAGTAACTTAAGTCAAGAAGGACAATTGAGACATAGAGTAGGGGGATCATTGAGTTGCCTTAGGGAACTACTAATATTTTTAATCACATGAATAGTATTAGAATTTTGTCTAAAATATAAAACTTATAAATGTTGACTCAGAGAGATCATTTAGGGGCTTCAGTAATCCAGAGAAGAGCTGATGGAGAACTGAACTGAGACGGCAAAGTGAACAGGACAAAAACCTAAGGGGTTAAGCAATTTATTTGATGAGAAAAATAGTAGAAAATGATAATAACTTAATATAACTTGAAATAATGAGAGAATAAAATTTTCATAGAAAGATGACAGTGGGAACTATGAGCTTTGACTCTTTTCAGATGCCACTAAGGTATCCATACAAATGTTGATTAGGTGCAGTTGAATATGCAGAATTGAATATTGGAGAAAGTTGGGATTTCATATATAATTTTATGTAGAGATCTGTATAGAAATGATAGCTGAGTTTGTTGAATGGGATGCAGTATTTAATGGAGAAAGTGTAAGAAGTGGGTCAATGCAAACTTTCATGATGGGAACCAATGACTTTAGAATGCAAAAACCAAAAGAGCAGCTTAAGGAAAAAGGCATGTGAGCAATAATTGGAGATCTGAGACAATATCCAGGATAGTAATTTTAAAGAAAGTTTAACAAAACAGAGCTAAAGGAAGAAAAAGTCTCTAAGAGTAACAAAGTCCAGAATGAGGATTAAGAAAAATCCTTGCTCCAGAGACTTAGTCACCATCTGTGCACATTAGAGCAATATCAGAGTATTTGAGGAAGTCAAAATGCCATGTTCAAAAATGAGACAATCTATAAACATAGAATGATTTTAAAGAATTCTAGTAAGCAAAAAAATGTAAGAAAGAAACAAAAAGATAGAACTGTAAGCTGAACCAGAATTGGTAATCAGGCAAAAGAAAAAAAAAGAAATATTGATAAATGGGGAGAACACCCAAGATTAGACAGCATACAAGTAATTGGCATTCTATTTGGAATAAAAATTGAGATATAGCTTTCATAAACATCAACCTACTTGAAGCTTTGTGCTAACTCTTGCACTGTAAACAAAAATACTAGAATTATTCTTTACCAAAGACAACTAAATACCAAATTGCTCATTTTGCTAAAGTCATTCTAAAGCTTCTTGCTTTCTAACCCAAGATGTTTATATCCCCACCTCATTCAAAATAAATTTCTTCTATTTTAAATAATTGTTTTTCTCTTATGAAAATGAAGTTATCTTGAAAATAAAAAGAACTACAATAAAAAGTTAAATTTTTCTATTTTTAGAAAAAAATTAATTTGATGGAATATTGCATCTTCATTTGATGAACTATACAAATTTTTTTCCTGTGAAAACTTAGACGTAAACTTAAATTTTACATTTTACAAGAAATGAAAAAAATGTGCATTAAGCCTTCTGAACAAACACCAGAAATAGTTAACCTGCTGAACCTGTGAATAAACATTTCTTTGGTAGCACATGGTGGTATTCACACAACAATTGGGTTCCAAAATATGTTTCTTCAATGTTATGTAAAAACATTCAGTTTGTGTAATGAACAACAATAATGCTAGTAATCAAAGAAAATCAGGATTGTCAACAATGAGAAATAATGTCTCCTAGCAACCAAGTTTCAATTACTCTTTGTTTGATAACAACTGCTGAGATATTTTATGCTGGTCTCTTTATTCCAGAGAGCATTGCATTATCAAAGACCATAAGAAAGAGCTCCTGATTTAACCAGCTCTGGTTTCCAATCACACATCTTGCAATTAATTTTATTAGTGTTTTAGACCTAATTTACTCTGAGTAAGCTATAACTATGATTTGTTATTGTCATGCTCTAAAAGAAATTGTAATGTGGCATAATTATTTGTTTAAATAATGGAATCTTTGGCATACAATGATACTCCAACAAAGTAAAGATTTATTGCCATTAATAATAAGATTAAACAAAATCATACCATGGAATAGATCCCAGGAGGACCCTTCAGCTATTTTAGTTGAACTAGAAATAATACTGCTAATTAAGATATAACACCAACTGTCATAGCAATGGTTACAAAGACCATTTACTTGTGCCTAATAAAAATCCTCTGTTCCCGACATGGATACAATATAAAAGTATACCCATAATTGAAATCAGTCTGCATTGTGAATGTTGCATATCAAACTTTAGAAATAATTTCATTCAAGGAATATGTACTAATCCCTTTATGACATTTGAATTGAGGAAATGATTGTTGAAACCAAGCTGTTCTGAAGATTTTTCCTTCAAATTTGGTGGGTGGGACTTTTACCTCTTAATCTTTACATGGAGGCAGTTCAGAAGACTGAGCAGCCCAGAACCTCAGTGTGGAAGTAGGACTATGGCTGCCTTGCTGCTGCCACAGCAATTACTTCTCTCATTATTGGGATTCAGCAGTCTACATCACCTGAGCCTATTGAATGGAAGAGGCTCATGGAAAACAGAGCCCCCCTCCACTCACACACATGGACACACAAACCACTAGCAGCCAAAGTGATAAGTGAAGTACATATTAAAGTAATCAAAGCTACAGTTGTGCAGCCAATCAAACATTATTTTCAAACTGGTTATTTGGAGACATACTTCTGTTTCATAATACCTCACTTTTTACTTAGTGAGGTATTGGTACTGTGTACTAAGGGATAATGTTCTAGAATTGACTCTGCAGCAATGCAAACCTGTTTAAATTAGCTTTGCAGCTGGAAATATTTTAGATAAGCTATTTGCCTATTTGTTTTCTTGTTTAGTTAAAGGTGAGGAATGAGTGATCTGATTTAAATTGACCTCAATAAATGAAAGTATGTCAATGAATAAAACCGTCAGACTATATGTAATGGTTTCTAATTAAATGTTTCTTTAATTTCTTCTCATAATTATAAGAAATGTATAAGACTTTCTTTTTTTCTTTCTGTAATTTCTCCCTTGACTAGAAATAGCAAAACCTCTACTTTTGGTACTCTTATGAATATAAATATGCTCATCCATATCTTAATAATATTGGTGGTTTTTTGGGTATTACTTACCTAAGAGGAGCACCAAATCATAGATCTTAGGACAGTACTTTAGCCTACTTCTAGCACAAAGTTGCACATTTAATCTTTCCAAGACAGAACTATCGCATAGAGTGCTTGCTTCAGCGGCACATATACTAAAATTGGAATGATACAGAGAAGATCAGTATGGCCCCTGCACAAGAACTATTGCATAGAAAGAGGCCCATAAGCACACAAATAATTGAGGCTAACTATAGACAATGATGAGATTGTTCCTGTGCCAGGAAGCCCACTGACTGTCTTTGAAGTCACTACTGTGGAATATATTGAACAATATAACAAGGAGTACATGCTTTCAAAACAAATACATTTTCCGGCAAACAAAATTATATTTCTGTATTTAATAAAGAAGATTTAATTAATCTGAAAAAACAAGGGTTTCAATTTTTTTTAAAAGCCATTTTCAGAAGAAAGGCATAATTTTCCATGTTGGTCCACATGCCATTGCTGCACAAGGGACACTGGGAAAAGATCGGCTACGCCGGCTCTGAGCAATCAGGGGGCCCCTGAGCACGCAAATGCATCACCCTTCAGAGGCAGTTTCATAGCCACTGTTTTTATGGTTTTAATACAAAGCTTTGCAAAAATATTTGTCAGCTGACCATGACAAATATAAAATGATTTGTCTCCCTGCCCTTGAGACAGTAAACAAATGTGAAAAGAAACCTTTTTTGTACATACTTACATAAAACAGGAAAACACTAATCATAAGAGTAAGTGTCAGGAGCCTTGTATTCTAAACCCAGCAAACTGAGTCTTATGTAAATTGTGAAAACGACTTTGGATCTCAATTTTCATTAGTAAAATGTGTGTAAGTGTGTGTTTTGAACTAGATTAATTTTCAAAGAATGACTTTTCATTCTCACCAACACAGAAACACACAAATAGGCTCCGAGGATAAAGAGAGGGGAAGGAAAACAACACTGTCAGTGGAAACTGTGTAACCTATTGGCAGAGGAAGGATGTTCATACGTCCCCGAGTCAGACAGAAATGCCTTCATTGGCAATCTTTGTTTTCCAGTGAATTCTGGTAAATCTGGAAGTCACTGTACTTTATTGGCCTAGAAATTCCTTTACTCTCATTATAAACTAACAAGTTCCTAGTTTCGTACGTTTATACATAAACATGTACATAAGCCAGACTGTAAAATGAGTTGCTGCTGGGGAGCCGGTCTTGCAGTGGGGACTTGAGCACACTAGGCTACTTTCCAGAGTCCCACTGCTCTGCTTTGAACCATTACCAATGCCTTTCAGCAGTGCTGTCAACAGTGCTCAGATAAGGTCTTGAACTCCGGAGAATGAATGAGATATGCCAAATGAAGCATAATTACTTCATTGACGTCATTCAGCTTTCAACTCACATTTAATGGGGGAGCCTCAACTGCTGGAAACAGTGGGCCGTTTGTAGCACATTATGCAAATGTAAGACTAATCTTTTGCATTATACATAAGAGCTGCTTATTGTGCATTAACTAATTTATCCGACTACGCAGGGGCTATGAATGCTGATTTTTATTAAGCTCTTCATTAAGTGAAAACGTAGGCACGGCAAGTGCATACATTAGCATGTGTCTGTCTTGCATGGATGAATAAATACATATACACATCTAGTTACAAAGTGACATTCTTTTGGTGGTAGAAATCATCAGGTATGATATTTTTTTCAGTCACATCAGTAAAATGAGGAAGTGAAAATTAAATAATCGGAGCAAACTATGCCTGAATTGTTAATATTCCTCACACATTTTTTATCATGGTCACAACATTGCTTTCTAAAAAGCTGCACACAGAATGTGTAGCCTAAAGCCAATAGCTCAAGTGTTACGTGTTACATAACTGTCCTTGGGCATGCTGGAGAACATTCTATTATCATACAAAGTAGCTGAAGAACAACTGAACACAAAGTCTAATAAAAACAGTCACTTCAGTTTTAAGATGGGTTTCATTCACTTGGGCAAAGAAAAGAAGGGCAAAATAATATTTTATTAACTATACCCCAATGAACTTGGTTTAAATCTACACACAGGTATGTCTAAACAGTCATGTGAACACTGTTTTATACAATCTCAGTTAATTAGCACATTTATTACAGCACACACCCAAAGTCAACACAGACTCTATGCAGACCCCACTCTTATTAGCAAGTTATTTGAACTTGACTACTGATTTTCACAAGAGACACTCAAAATATTACACTTTTTATTTGCTTGATTAAATTGATATAGATTTGATTTATTTTAATCAGCCAATGTTTAGTGGGACCTCTCTATCTGCAAATTATTACAAATATTTTGAGTTTATTACTTTAAAAATATTTTTAAATGCAGTTAATAGCTCACTAATAGGAGGTGAGTCACTGATTATCTTTATGACTGATTTTCAAAGTGACAGGGTAAGAGAAAATGAAATGAGCCTGTTACTCTGACGATGCTAAATAGCAGCAGTGACCAGTGAGTGTAACAGATGCTGAGGGGCACAGAAATCTAGTGGCCCCGTCTGACTTCAACCTTGAGTTCCCAGTTTCAGTTCATTAAAAATAATGACCAATTGGTGTGTATCATGCTTAACAGCAGCTCATTTTTTTTATCAGCCAGGTAAACTAGAACACATTACTATACTCGACACAAAATCAGCCCTGGGATTTGGCCATGAGCCCAACTTGACTGCAGAATGTTTATTAAATTATTAAAATTTACAGGTTGATAGCACTCTCAAGCAATTTATTGTAGCTGTAAACCATTTTTTAAGTTTTGAAAACACAATAAAGTTGATTTAATAATCCCTCTAATCTTATACACGACTTCCTTCAGAATTTTCTTCAATTATGCCTCATAAATTACAATTTATTGTGTACTAGAGAAACACTAAAATACAAATACTTCATGAGAATTTCATCAGATTCATTTATTCTGAAACATTTGCCAAGAAGCATAACAAATTCGCATGTGACCCCTGCACTCAAAAGAGCTGAAGTTCAAATCAAAGCCACAAAAGAGAGTTCCCTTGCCAAGGACAATAACTAAAATCTTCCCTTAGCTTGAGCCAGGAACTTGGCTTTAATGAAAGCAAGGGGTGAAGGGGTCAGGGAAGAGAGACAGAGGCAGTTCTGGGGAATTTCTCTCCACTCTAAAAACAGCTTGAATGGCAAAGTGCAGACAGTCTCATCACCTTTTTGTAGGACTTTGTTAGAGAACAAGCAGCTGAAAAGAGGGAGCACAGAAAGACAGTAATTGTGGGCACACAATATGTTTTCCTCAGGGGCAGTAGGTCATTAGTGTAGGCAAATTCACTTAGATTTAATGACTTCTAAGTGAACATTCCATACTTTTTAAAAATAGAATTGACAGTAGTTTAGGAAGATTAATCCCTAATGGTGAAATAATTTAGACTCTCTTTCATATTTATAGTGACTTGATTAGGGCAGAATTATGTCCTGGACCTAGTGGGTCCTATGGCTCATAGGACTTAGCTTTCAAAACTGAAACAAAAATTTTAGAAAGTATTAGGGCTCTTTTAATGGACCAGAAAGAAAATACATGAGTAGTAGATAGATTCTCTGGCTAGACTGGGGAGAGAGTTGTAACAGTGACCTGAGGAGAGGTTATATGCTGTGTGAGGAAAAACTGCATCTATTAACACATTCCTTAACCATTTCAGATTTGTGTCTTCATGCACACTTCAGGAGACTACAGCCCTTATTCAAGCAAATCTACCATTGACTGCGACTATGATAAGTCTGGATCTGGCGAATTCCAGACATTAGAGTGGAAGTGGCTCTGGGAGAATATCTCAGGAGCAGAGATTTTTTTTCCATAATTGTATGTCTTCCCACTTGGGTTATCCACAGGATCTATCACTTGAAAAATGAACAAGATCCCCTCATGGGACTCGAGGGCTGTCAGAGAGATGACATTTTCATTTGCTTAGTCATACCAAAGAGTTGATGAAGACAATAGTGGTCTATTAGCATCAATATAAAGTCAGAACTCTACAGAAGACAAAGTTGGATTCACATTTCTCTCTTTCCCTCTTATTAATTCTACCTGTGGTTCCTAATGCTCTAAATATAGCCTGCCCTTGAATAACATGGGTTTGAAATGTGTGCATCTGCTTATCCATGGATTTTTTTCAATACATATACAACTGGCCGTCCACTGTATATTTGCATACCTACATACCTATGTTTTGTATCTGTGGATTCAACCTACTGTGGATAGAAAACAGTAGTTTAGATCCATAGTTGGGAATCTATGGATGGGGAGGGCCAACTGTATGCATTATTCTATACCATTTTATATAAGGGACTTGAGCATCCATAGATATTTGTATTTGCAGACATCCTGGAACCAATTCCCTACAGATACCAAGAGATGACTGTAGTTAAGTGTAAGGAGAGTCAAAACTTTTACACAGATTTTCAATTGCACAGAGGTCATCACCCCTAACCTCCACATTATTCAAGTGTCAACTGCACTGACTATAGTATGTCATAGAAGAACACGTCTAGCTCTGTTCTCCTTCTCATGAATGTTCATGGGTGTCTATACCTGCACCAAGTGAGTCTTCTCTTTTCTTGACCACAGTAACATCAGATAGACACCTAGCCTGAGTTAGGGGACTCAAATTCTTCTCTCTAGAACATTGAGCTAATTAACCATACAGAGCTGAACGGAATGATCCTGAAGACCAAGGACACCTCTCTTGCTCTATAAACCCCATTTTAATTTGAACTAGTGTTCCTAGGCTTCTATTTCTACAAAGCCAATATCAAACAAGCCAGGAGTGGTTCATATTCCCTGCCGTCCAGAGCAGAAGTCCTTGATAATGACTGGGAAATCAAGGATAACATCCATAAGATTATGGTCTCACTACTGGGAAAAATTAGCCCTTGCATAAAATCCACTTATCAAAGCTTAAAAGCAACAATAGAAAGAATAAAACTGTTTCCAAGTAACTTGACTGCATCCCAACATAAATTTCAGGAACATTTCAAGTCATTACAAAATATCTAACACCTAATACAGTAAAATATAAAAACCTGCCATCCTATAATAATTTACTGAGTATGCAAGAAAGAAAGAAAAGTATGAAATAAATCAATAGGAAGAGACACAAAAATGACACAAGTGATAGAAATAGCAGCCAAGGTCATTAAAACAATTACAAACACACTACACATGTTA